GGGGGGAAAGTAACGATCTGGCGACTTATGGCTTGCGTGCCCACAGAGAGGACCCTGTGTGCCAGCTGTGGCATACAGAGGTTCACCATTGCTTGTATAGATAATAGTGCCAATATGTTGTGTTTATCTAAAAGAATGCTGCATCAACAGGAAAATAAATTTTAAAAATTCAAAATGGTAGAGTAGATGAAAATAGGAGAGTTCTCCATCATTTCGCCCATTCAACCCAGAACAGACACCACTGGCTTTCTCACCGAATTGTGGGGTTCAGGTTGTTTTTAATTATCTTTAAAAAAGATTTTAGTTGCCATGGGGAAGGGGAATAGGAAAACTGTATATCCCATGTTTGCTCACCTAGGCTACAGTCTTTCACAGTACCCACTTAGGTGATAGTAAGGGATGCATGGGAATTGCATCGGCAGGATCCAAGCATACGTTTGAGTGAACATCCTAATGTTACCTATATTCCTTAAGGTTATCAAGGTTGCCAAGAGACACAAAATAAAAAGGCAAAACAGTTGGGTCAATCATGGGAACAAAAATAAAAGTTATTTACCCTCTGTTTTTGGTGGAGATTAGTCCAAAATAAAAGCAAAACAAGGTAAGGAGCGGTTTTTAATTTTAATAAACATAATTTAATGCACTTGAGTATGCCATGTTTGTTTTTGTTATTGTTTGTGAACTGTCTAGTTTGACCACTGGTCAAGTGAGTGGTATAAAAATCAGTCAGTCAGTCAATCAATCAAAAGTCATTTAATAGAGGTATCACTCCACTCCAGTGCTTCTGAATTTTGTACAAAGCAGTAGTATCTGGCTACAGGGAAAATGGCACTAAATGTTACTGATGTTTGAAGAAGCAGCTTTTTTTGGGTTAATACTGCTCCCACTATTTCAAAGAACAAAGAGGGAAAAAAACCCAGCTGCTCTTAGGTCCAAGAATCAGTTTCTTGGCTTCTCCATGACTGTCAAATACAACAGCAAATTTCACTGTGTTGTCTTCAGTGCTGTAAAAATAAAATTATGGTTTTATTGTTTAAAAAAATCAATAGAATCTAAGCCTTTCTCCAAATGCTGACCAATCCCACATCTAAGCAATAAAAGGGAGGCAGGTGTTTCAAGAAAATGATGTACCGTATTTTTCGCTCCGTAAGACGCACCAAATTTTTAGGAGAAGAAAACAGGAAAAATAATCTGTTTTCTTCGCTCCATAAGACGCACAGACTTTCCACCCCCCTGTTTTGTGGGGGGAAAGTGTGTCTTATAGAGTGAAAAATACGGTAAATATTCAACCAAAACTATCTAGAAAACAATTTTATTTTGGCTAGTTAACAAAACTGGCATTATGAAACTGACTATATGCTTCAATTATACAGTTTCTTCCAGCCTTAAAGTCAGCAGGTAGAGACTAAACTTGAGTTAAGTGCCTCAACATGCCTTTATAGAAAAATACTTATCTTCTCCCTAATGTAAAGTCAGTAGAACCATTGTGAACTGTAACAAAAGTTCAGCATGGAATATAAAATTATGTATTATCAATCAACATTTTATTTAAAACTGCACTTTCATCTTCTTAAGAGTGCAAATGAACTCAGCTACTGTAGTCATAGAGCATGAGGGTACATTATTGCATATAGAAAAAAAGACAGAAAGACTGAAGAAGACATTCCTCACTATTCCGCTGCAATGTCTACAGGGAATCTGGAATACATTTCAATGGCATGTTCTCTAAGATTAATAACACTGTAATATTATTTATTTATTTTATATATTTGAAATATTTTTATCCTGCCTTTCTCCTTAAGAAGAACCCAAGGTGGCTTCCATCCTTGAGAGACAATATTTAAAGCTGAAAACAATGACTATACAACAGTGGTTTGCATCATTAAAAGACAATGTTTAAAGTTAAGAAAATCAAGTATGAACACTGTGTCTCCATAACAATGGTTATACATTCCCCTTCACCAACATCAGTAAGGAGGTATCTCATATCCTGATTACTTTTGCATCAGCAACCTCCAATTAACTCTTGATTGGAAGCATGTTTGATGCTGGATGTCAGTAGTCAGCAGAACAGTGCTACTGTGTAGGGCCTTTTGTGTGCATTCTGCTATTTGCATCCTAATTCATGTTATATATTTTGCAGTGAAGTATGCCTGCCAATGAAACACTATTGACTAACTGAAAACCACCTGAATGCAATACCTTTTTCTATTGAAATGAAATGAATAATGGGTGTGAAATTTTGCTCAAATTAAATAGCTTGTACAATGTAAAACAGAGAAATGCTATTTGTTCACAATGTGTCTTTTAATGCACTGGATTCTGATGTATATCAGTTCTCTTTTAAGTGTACAGAGGAAGGATGAGGAAGGGATGCTATGACCCTAAAGATACTATTGGTCTGCAACTCCCTCCAGCTCTAGCCAATGATGAGCAAGGGAAGAAGCTGCAGTCCACAAGCCTCTGATGGACGTTATGTTTCTTAACCCTGCTACAGAGCTATGTCACACTGACAATATGCTTCTGTTTATTAATTACAGATTCGTGTATCTCCTGCAAGAAACAAAACTGACCACAAAACATTTTTGGGGTTGTTTAAATTTTAAAGACAAGGATCGGGGATGTCAGACTACAGTTTGCTGGTTGTCAGCCCACCAATTCCTGGTGCTGCACTTTGTGCATACCAAGATTCTTACAGAGAATGCTGGACAAGAATAACTTTATTCTGATCCAGCAATGCAGATCTTCTGTCTTCAAGCAGGAATGCAAAATCAAGATCACTCAGGATCATATAATAAAAATAGTTCTTTTAAGTCTCAATAAATCCTATATATGCATTGTTATCCTATATATGCAATGGAGCACATTAATGGTCTGTGGGAGTATGAATCAACACATTTTTTCATTAAAAGGAAATAATACAAAACTCATGTAAAGCCCTAACACTGCTATGTCAAAAACAGCAATTTACTTTTTGCTTTCACTTGAAGGGAAAAGGCATGGGAAGAGAAGAGACATATGTTAAGGTTGGAAGATCACAAACTGCTTTTGTTTCACTAAAAGATTATTGATAGCATTGCAGCCCAGTTCTATAAATATTAATTCAAAGTTCTACTCAGTTCCATAATTATTTAATAATATAATAATTAGTTCCCTTCCAACCAATGGTGACCCTTTTCCAGGGTTTCCTAAGGTACAGGGTTTGCCATTCTCTTCCTCAGGCAGGGGGACGGGGATTGTGCGATTGTGCAGCTTGCCAAAGGCTACACAGGCTGGTTCTCCTCTGAGGAGGCATTGTGGGTAATCAAATCCCAACGTCTAGCTCTGCAGCCAGGCATTCAACCCAGAGACGCATCCAGCCAGCTATGTTTATCAGTGCAAAGGACTCCCTATCAAATGTATGCTACTTCACACAACAATAACTTTATGCTTTATATAGTAATACATTTCATTCTCTTAAAGTCACATTTTATTAGAATGTAAGAATATCAGACACCTTCAAATACTTTACCTGTGATCCAATTAGGTTTGGGGAGGGTACAGTAGTCTGCTGTTGCTGTTGCTGTTGTAGCTGTAAGGGTTGTGGCGTTTGTGTTTTATTTTCTGACTGTGCCAATGGTTGTATTTGAAACTTACTGTCTGGCTGTTCCTGTTTTACCATCAAATTCTTCCGCAGCTGTTCAACCACTCTTTTCTAGCAAAGAAACACACATACAAGAAATTAAGATAAAAAACCAATTACATTATTTAAGTTGAAGCAAAAAGCAAAGCAAAGCGTGCTGCTTATATATCGCCCCATAGTGCTTCAAGCACTCTTTGGTCAGTTTTTCAAGTTAATTACGCAGGCTACACATTGCCCCCCTCCAGTGAGCTGGGCACTCATTTTACCAACCTCAGAAGGATAGAAGGCTGAGTCAACCTTGAGCTGGCTACCTAGGATTGAACCCCTGGTCGTGAGCACAGTTTTAGTTGCAGTACAGCAGTTTAACCACTGTGCCACGAGGCTCTTATGTACACAACATATTAACTTAAAAACAACATTTATTGTTTGGCTTTTAGTAAATTAATCTAGGATGGACCACGAAGCTGAAAGCCTGATATATCATAATTAGAATAACAGGAATGTAGCAGGCTGGCAACATGGCAGCACAGAAACGCCCTTTCAATAAGATATGTACATCAAAGCAAGGAGTTCTATGTCCCATCACAATTACTTATGTCCACAGGATCATTCAATAGCTTTGAAAAAGAGATGCTACTTAATGAACAGTCCAACATTCATGTAGAATCCTGAAGGCAATCCTTAAGAGCAAGATCATGGATTGCAATGTGTTTCAAGGAAAGAAAAATACACAATGGCTTATTTGGCTCAAGTGCTTTACAAACTACTTTCCCATGTCTACATAAATGATTAAAAATCTAAATATGAGTTAGCAAAATAGGCAACAATTTGAACATGACACAAATTACATTAGAAAACAAACACAGTTTGTACAAATGACTTAACATAGGATTAAAAGTAGAAATCAGATATATTTAAATAGCACTCCACACAGAGACTATTTCTCCTTCACAGTTCAACTTAGGATCTATAGGCAGGTCATTTGTATTTGAAACATTTCATCATACCTTCAGTCTGAGACTTTACAGGAAAGGTTTAGAAATTATAAGCAAATAGAACCCTCAACTATTACAGTATATAGTTCTGTGCTTTAATTCTACAGAAAAGTTTATTTCAGACCCTCTGGATGTCTTCTCTGTAGATTCCTTCTAGAAAATGTTATTAAAACTTCTAGAAATTGTCCTCTTGGTCAATGTACCCTGAAATTTTCAGCCCTGTTGAGTAGGGCTCCACCTCTTGCACATGCAGCTTCGCCCTTGTGTACATGTGTAACTCCACCACCGTGCACTGGGTTCAGTCGCAACCGGAACCTAATGTGATCACTGTGCAGAGAAGGAAGAGAGCTGTGTGGGGAGAAGCAGAGTTGTGCATGCGTACGTGCATGCCCAACTTAATGGGATCCCTGCTCTTGGTGTATTCTTCTATTAGGTCATTTGCACCCATGTTATAGTAATATAATTTTTGCCACTTACTCTAGAATTCAATAGCTTTGATCCTTTTAGGTCCTCAAAAATGACTGCTCATTTGAGACTTGCAGATATAGCCATTAATTTAGCATCTTACCTGATCAGTTTTACCTGTCCACGGATACCTGTGCTGCTCTCCTGCGGCACAGCGTGGAACAAAGTTGCAAAAGCATATTGTTGTCATTTTATAAAAGCTTTTAGTTTAGTTATGCAAGGGTTATTCTTATCATGTGACTGGGTAAGTGACCATTTAAAAAGCTGCGACTTTTTTTGTATGATACATTATTTGAACTTATTTATCTAGTTCACATGAAAATCTCAACATGAAATTTACAATAAAGCAAGGGAAGAAAACAATGTTTCCATTTATTTATGCATTCACTCACTGTTCAGTGGTTTACAACTGCTTTCTGAAACATGAACTATGTTACCAAGCTATTAGAATTGCAATATCGGCAAGCAGGGAAAGAACAGAAGGAAGATTTCCAGAAAGCAGAAAAATGTAGGAAATAATAGAACAGAAACCAGTTACACCTGCCAAACAACATCCCTACCTATTAGCAGGACAGAAACTAGATTACTACAACCAGCAAAATCAGACACAATGTTTTTCTTTTCTATAGCTGTACTAAAGTTCATGGACTAGGTTGATTTTCTACTATTCCCTAGTTCAAGGAAACAGAGAGTAGAATTCATTCTCCCCCTGTTCTTTACTACAAAACATAACAGCAGGGGGGAAAGAAAGGAAGGGGAGAGCTAAGCTTAGGAGTACTCCCAAGCCAAACTGCAATGAAATATGTCAGCCAATCAGAACAGGAACTGGGCAGAGGAGGAGTCAAGTGAGTCAAAACACAATCATAATTTTTCTGCCTCCAGCCCGTGAAACAAAGCCTAGGAAATATATGTAGCAAAACCAGAGTGAAACACCTGAAAACTATCACTATACTGATTAACCAACTGATACAACTGATAAAGGCTGATAGTCAAGTTGCATTAAGCAAGTAAATGTTTGTATATAAAGTGTCAATCACAATGGACAAACTGTTTATTTCTGGGTTATCTTTACGAAGATGTTTCTGACTGGTTTTGAAACCCCTCTTTTGCATTTGCCTTGTTAATCACCAAGGCTAAATATGCATTTTGACATTGTCTAATTGTTTATATTACATTATGTCTCTATATTTTCTCCTGTTGCCCCATGGTCACAGCCTTGCCTTTGGAATGCCTGCTGTCCTTCTTATCCCGTTTACTGAGTAATTCACTTATGGTTACAAGGACTGAAAACAACCAGGGGCCAGGGAATACTTAACTCTAGAACACAGCAGTTTTTAACATATTCTGGCATTTACCTTAAGAAAGATGCAAAGCAGTATAAAGTTAAGACTATAAAATAACAATGGGAAAGGCATCCACTTTGTCACAGGCAATGATTGAGCTGTTCTGGTCTTAGAAGTGTAGATAGCCTTTCAAGATCAGCCACTCATGGCCCTCAAAACTGCAAGTGGGTGAAGTGTGTCAGGACCATGGACAATCTCTATCAAATTCAAAAGGTCCATAACCACAAGTGTTAAACCTCTGGAATCACCAACCACCAGAAAGGTGTCCTAGACTGCCCATCAAGGATGTAATACCCAGACTTATCTGGATATATTGTCAGCCAAGTCTGACCAAATAAATCCAACAGATTTGAACTGTCCAACTCCCAGACTTTGCATTTAAACCAACCACCAACTTACATACCCAATAAACCTGGATTCGCACCATATTAATCTAGCAAAGGCTACTTGGCCATTCACTGCACCCAATTTTTAACACCAAGTAGCCAAAACAGCTTTCCCCAACTGGCATGGTTTCAAGGCAAAAATTCCGACTGGCACTGAAGTGACCAGCAAAGCCCACACAGAAAAGAAGGGTGAGGGGGAACTGGAAAAGGGAAACAGGCAGGACTTGACCTGTGTTCATTTCAGCCATTTATCTCAGGAGATATAAAACCTTGGAAAGTAGAAGAACATGTGGACTTCAATATACTGGAAATTACTTAGAAGATGCATTTTAGAACCCCCAAGAAATTCCAAATTTAATAAGCAGTCTTGGATTTTTCTCATGAGAAGGATGTATCTGCACAACTTCATGCATCTAACAAAGTAGACTCTAGTCCATGATAACTTTTTTCTTAGTGCACACTAGAATCTAGAATACTGTGAGTTACCTAATCTGTAAATGACTACAAAACAGATGAATTGTTTTAACAGATGAGGGTTCAAAAATCCTTTAGCTTCAGTGGTTCTTAACGTGGGCGATAATGCCCCCCAGGGGGCGATTTCATTTTTCAGGGGGGCAGTAGAATGAAAAGGGGCGTCGTGGGGGCGTTGGAGCAGAAGGAGGCGGTAGGGGGCGCTGGAGCAATCCAAACCTGTGAAGATGGCTGCAGCCTTTTTACAGTGTGCATGAATATATATTTTCCTCCAATCTTAATTTAGTTTCAGAGTTTTCGTCTTGAAATTTTTAGTTCCTGCATTGCAGTTTGTTTTTATG